GGCTCTCATCACATATCTTCAAGCGAGTGGCCTCCCTCACGGCGAGAATTTCTCTTCCTCGTCATCAAGGCCGCACTCCTCAGGACCACAATATTCTTTTTCCCTTGTTCTATCTCGGTCGCCGCCGGCACAGACCGGGTTGCAGCAGGCGCTTCGGCCTCAGGTGACTCCAGCTTCAGCGCCTGCACCTTTAGCCACTCTGCTTTGATCGATTCCGCCTTCGTCGATTCCGCCTTCTTCGATTCCGCCTTCTTCGATTCCGCCTTCGTCGATTCCGCCTTCGTCGATTCCGCCTTCGTCGATTCCGCCTTCGTCGATCCGACCTTTATCGACTCCTCTGTCATCGGCTGCGATGCGGGTTCGGTGTTAGGTTGTTGACAACCAGGTTGTTCAATACCAGGTTGTTCAATGCCAGGTTGTTCCTTCATATCAGCCATCTTGGCAGGTTCGTCGGCAGCTGGTCGACCAAGCGCCATCGGAGCACGCTCAGTCCCTTCCTGCGTTGTGGAGTCCTGTGTTGCGGGGTCCTGTGTTGCGGGGTCCTGTTTAGGTTTTTTGAGGGTCAATGCGAGCTCCCTTTCCATGTGTTCGAAAGGTCGACAAGCTCCTTTGGCGATTCTGATGCGTTCCACGAGTTCCGCGGCTCGGTCGGGTTTGGGTGCTTTGAGGATCATGGCACTCCAGGCGGGTACATCTAGCCAGAGGCAGTACGGCCAGCCGAGGCGTCCGCCTTGAGTGGTCTTGGCGGTACGCCCCTTGCCAATGCCCCTCATTTGGCCGCCGTAAGCCCAGTCGTCGGTGTTAAGCAGGACTTCCCATTCGCCGCCGTGGGGGACACCGAATGGGTAGCGGTAGTGTGTGTCAGCACTGAAGTTGCAGATGACTAGGAGGTCATTGAACCACTCCTCGTAGGACTTGAGAAAAGCGACGAGGCAGGCATTGCGGGAGTCACAGTCGACCCACTTGAAGTTCCAGGGCTCGTCGTCTCCGGCGTGCATCGCCTTCTCATTCTTGTAAATAGCCATCGTATCAGCTACGGACTTCATCACTTTAGACCGGTGCTCTTCGCGAGCCTCATGCCAATCTAACGAACGGCTTTCGTTCCACTCACGACCCTGGGCGAACTCGGCCCCCATGAACAGCAGCGGCCGACCACATAGACCTGCTTGGTAGACAATTAGGCTCTTTAACGTGGAGGCCTTCTCCTCAAACGAAGAACCGATGAAGGCACATTTGTCTAACAACGAGCCCTTACCCGACACCACCTCGTCGTGTGACAAAGGTAGCACCCAGCGCTCGTGGGCCATGTATAGACCTCGGAAGGTCAGTTTACCATGGCTTTCCGGACGCAGCGGTGTAGGTTTGCAGAGGTAGGAAATGGTGTCATTCATCCAGCCAAGATCCCATTTGAAGTCGAACCCGAGCCCCTTTTCCTTATCCGTCACTCCTCTCCAACTGGTCGCTTCCTCGGCCATGGTCAATACACCCGGGAATTCGCGATGGATAACCCAGTTGAGCTCCTGGAGCATGTTGATCGCCTCCAAATTCGCGTCGCCACCTTCTTCGTTAGGAATCCACTCGTCGCGACAGTAGTTCTTGTACAGCATTGAGGAAACCGCGTCGATACGGAGCCCATCGACATGGTACCGTCTGAGCCAATGGTAGCCGGCTCCAAGCAGGAATGAACGCACTTCATTGCGGCGGAAGTTAAACACTTTCGTACCCCAGGTCTTATGCTCACCTTCACGCGGATCAGCATACTCGAAACATGGCTCACCATCAAAGTTAGCAAGAGCCCAATCATCCTTCACAAAATGCGCCGGAACAAAGTCTAAAAATACACCAATGCCCGCCAGATGTAACTCATCAATAAGGTATTTCAACTCATCCGCTGATCCTAACCGGCTATAGGGAGCAAACAATCCCGATACTTGGTACCCCCAACTGCCTTCGAAGGGGTGGTGCGCCAGTGGCAAAAATTCCACGTGTGTGAAGTTCAGCAATTGACAATGCTCCACTAGCCGGTGAGCTAATTCCTTATACGTTAAGTACCGGTTGTTGTCGCCACGCATCCAACTCGGTAGATGTACTTCGTAAATTGAAATTGGCATCCTCGTCACGCGTTCCTTGTTCTGTTGGCGCTGTTGCATCCACTCTCCATCACGCCATTCATAGCGCTCCCTCGGCTGCCGGTATGCGTCATCGCAGCCGGATATTACACTCGCGTGTGCCGGGGGGTTCTCGAACTCCTGCGCATACGGATCAATTTTCATAATGTCCGTACCACGTCTCGTATGTATTTTGTACATGTAACGATGACCCACTCGCGGAGTATCGGGCACAAAAATCTCCCAGACTCCAAATTCATGTCGCTTCCGCATCGGGTGCGCTCTTCCGTCCCATTGATTAAACTCTCCGACCACACTCAAAAACTGAGCATTCGGCGCCCACACGGCGAAGCGCACGCCTTGAACTCCTTCGACCTCTACGAAATGACTACCCATCAAGTTATCCACATGCCAACAAGAACCGGACTGGAACAGCCGGAGCTGGTCTTCACCCAAGCTGCAACCAAAGCGGTACGCGTCGTGCAATATATACGATTGGTTGCTCGCGTCCCCGCAATACTTTACCCTCAGCTCGTACTCCACCGGCGTCACCGCCAGTAGGTCTGTAGTTGCTTCCGCCGCCTCCGTTATGGGCAACCAGTTGAAGGCGCCCTGGAAGAGCCAGTCCGCCCTGCGATGCAGCTTGTACCAGACGCCCCCGGAGGATGCCTGCAGCCTGCAGGAGGCCGGTGACTCAGCTTGATCGGGATGCTCTCCACCCTGGTGGTTTTGCTGAAGGCGTTCGCCCTGGCGTTCGCCCTGGAGGTGATCGGCTTCGGACTCGGACGCGGAGGGGGCTTCTGTCAGGTCCTGGGGGACAGTGGCCAGGCTGCCGGTGAAGCGTAGTTCCACCTCGGCGGCGTCTTTGATCCAGGCGCGAATGACGACGGCTCTGGTGTCCTGGCCGCCATATGCGTGAGGACCAAGGACGGCGAAGGGGTCTGCATGATGAGCCGAATGTAGCAGACTGACGTCGTGGTCGCTGGCATTGGCGCTTTGCGGTATGTCGGAGAGGTAGGTAAGCTTAGCGGCGGCGGGCGAGTCGCAGGGTGCCGAAGAAGGCAGGATGGCGTCGTCCTGCACGTTTGTCTCGTATCCCTCCTTCGGCGAATACCCAGCAGAAGCAGCACCCAACTTTCCGCTCACCGGCACCGGCTTCGCTACGGGCTGCGAAGCGATGTCAGACATTTCACAAAAACGGAATTAAAAACAATTCTCAAACAGAGACAAAGCTTCCTCCACCAACCGACCTTGCGTCAGCAACACCTCTGCAACTGCCACTCGGAAGTCCCGGTCTCGCTCGAACAGTAATTCCACCGACCGCGGCTCCAAGGCACTCTTCAGCGACAATGATCGAACCCCTGTTATGCTCACATACGTATTCAACAGCCCGAACTCACACTCGATCTCTACCGGTGACTGATCAGCCTCCGCCCGGTGCGACCGCCCCCCCGATTGATGGCCAAAGTCCGTGGCGTGAGACCGACGTTTACCCACCACTACCGAGTCTTCCGTGACCGACAACCAGAGTCCCAAGCACCGAAACATTTTGTCCTCATTCCACGTTCTTTTTGGCGCAAATTTCTGCAGCCACTCGTCTAATGCCGGCGTCTCCTTCGTCAATAACATGCTACTCCAAAACGCAATCAGCGTCGCCGACTCCACTGCATTGACCCACGTACTCGTCCCAATCTTCTGTGCTATACCCACCGTATTCTGAATCATTTCCACCTCATCTCGTTCAATCGCCACCCACCGACTCCAATCCAACCGCGGGCCAGAGTCCATAACACACGTACCCACTCCGTAATCCTCACTGCTGTGGTCATGGCTGTTACCGTCCTCGCTGCTATGGTCCTCACTGCTGTGGTTCTGACTTTCGCCCGGACCCTGTTCCGTGTCATCCAGACGGAAGTCCTCTAACAGCTCACCCTTATCTTTCGAGCCAGACACGGGAGCTGAACCGGCTCCCTCACCAGAACCCCCGTCGCCAGCACCTCGATCAGAGATTTGACGAGCAGGGACCTGCTCGTCAAATCTCTGATCATCAGCTCC